CGCTCTAAAACTTTCTTCGACATACATTGATAAACTACCATATTTGAAGTACCATCGTAATCTAGATTATAGAGCACGTCAAATCTCCTTTCACCTGGGACAGTTATGACTTACCTTTAAGACGTCTCCACATTAATTTGTAGCAGAAAGTAGTTCTGCACCTGTAACCAACACAAATAAACAGAAATTCGAAGTGCATTCAAGAATTTACTGAACGAAACAAGTTGAAATAGAGTTGAGTAATTTGTAACTACAGGTCAAATGTCGGCAAAGCAATGGGGTGTGCCTATATCAATCTCTAAAAAGTGGAATAATTGTCTGTATATATGCGGTAAATTTAAATTTTAGTTAATAGACTGGTCATTTAAACGAAGAAAATTCAAGTTTAAATTTTGCACCTAAAAGAACTGGGAAGTTTAAGAAAGGATTGACGTCCTATCTCGTCCTTTTGAACGTAATCAAACAGTAACGCTTCAAGTGAAGCTGAGCAGAGCAACTATGCCAGGTATCCTGTCCATCTAACGTCACAGTTGCGTTCACTCTTTTGACAAGTCTAGTAAAACATATCAAGGCATGGCAGCCTTATTCTACATACTCCCTGATCAGAACTCCGAACTACTCATTTCGCAGGCCAATTTGAAGAGCAAAGACAAGGGATTCTAAACATAGGAGCATTAGCTCAAACTCATTTGTTGTTTGAGAATATAACCTTAACGGATGTGCCAGAAAGCCAGCAATTCCTCCAACTAGGGATTCGTTATGGCATTAGATGGTTTCCAATGACAACGAAAAAGGTAGATGGTTTTCAATCATGTGAATTTCGGGGAGTCAGCAATTGCTGTTTTTAGATGGTTTCCAATGCCTTCTGAAGTGGTACTATTCGGTTTTGTAATCCAATGCAGTTTCCCTCATCTCTGGTTCTTACCTTAACTTAAAACAATGGCGAATGGAACACGATAGCATAATCAACCTCAGGAGATTTACACAACAAACAAGGATGGCAAAGCAATCCAATTCCAAGTGATACGATTACATCAGAAACAAACAATGAAAGTTGTACTTCGAGTAGTAATTCCAACAACCAAATGAAGAAACATAGCAGATAAAAACTGACCTGCACAGAAGGCGTCGTCTTCCATGTCGATGATGTGGATGTGAGAGTGAGACGACGGTGGGTTCTCCATATTAACTTTGTTTCTTCTTCTCATTGGCTTTCACTGAGAGAGATTGGGAGGCTTTTGGATACTCTGTTTCTCTCTCCTATTTCACTTTCCTCCTCTTCCTTACTGTGCACGCAACGAAATTATTTAAATACTACTTTTGATATTTGGACTAACTATATTTCACCCATTCAAAATGAGAAATGAATTTTCAATTTTCTCTTTTTGTATTATAAAATACAGAACTTGGATCGATTTATGTCTGTTGTGGGATTAATTGTTTGATCCATAATAACCACAAATTCACATAAGATCTTACCTTACCTATCAACGACGTCGTTTGAGAAGATAGGATGACATTAGTTAAGCTCTAGCACGCCAGTGCAGCCTTATTTAAGGCACATAATAATGGATGTGATATCGTTTTGGAGATTGGACCCTGCATATTGAAGTACGCACTCTCAACAGTAAAAATGGGTGCAACCCTTGATGTTGAATGAGTTTTCGAGATGAATTTTCTCATCACACAAGTCACATACAAATGTTTTGCTGCCAAACTTTACTCCTGTGCCCATCTCTCTCTCTCTCTCTCTCTCTCTCTCTCTCTCTCTCTCTCTCTCGGTTAGATTATGGTGGAACAGTAACGGTTCTGAACAGAAAACTTAAAACGCGTAGCATCGGCGATGCAACCGCAAATTAACTAGCAACTACAAAGAGGGAGATTCGAACTTGAGTAATATTGATGCAAATAGATATTACACATCTGAGTATAAACAAACAGCACAATGATCTAATTCCTAGAATCCAACCTGCAACAAACTCCATAATATTGCAGTAAGATCGGCTCATGAGCAAACAATTAGGACTATTTCTTACAGCTTTGACAATAACGGGTATGTTCGACAGCCTGAATTCCACAACTGTAACAGAAAGCAAACCCGCACCTGCAACAATAATAGTAACCAACTTTGATGATCAATGAAGATTAGGGCAGGCAAATATATATACACCAATAGATAAAATATTAAAATTTATGTAAGTTGAATGATATAACTCAAGTTATTTAATTCCAAAACTGATAGGGAATTAATCTAGAAGTAGCAGAGAAGTTAACTGACCTGCATTTCATGTAGCTGCACCCATCTATTCTTTCAACATAGTAACTGCAACGTGGACATCTCCTCCAGTTCTTATTCTTGGCAAGCTCTTCCAGCATCTCGTCTTCGCCCTTATCTCTCAGTTTCTGAAACATGGAGCAATTGAATTCGGTATGCCAAGGAACCTTACACTTGGCGCAAAACTCTCTTTTGCAATGAGGACACGGAGCCTGATTGGTATCCTCTGGCCCCTCGTGGATTAACAGCGCAGAGCACCCGACGAAGGGACAGTATAAGTACTTCTTCTGAGGCCCGATAACCACAGATTCACATATGGCCTTGCCCCACCTATCAAAGAGGTCGGTTGGGAGGATAGGACGGCAGTAGTCAAGTTCTAATGTGCCCGTGCAGCCTTGTGCAGGGCATGTAATGGAAGATACATTGTCATCAAGCTTGGATGCTACAAATTTAACAATGCAGTCTTGACAGTAAAAGTGGGAGCAACCCTTAATGTTAAAGGAGTCTTTTAGATCAACTGGCTCAACACAGAAGTCACATACAAAAGTTGAATCGATATCATCACTCTCATCCGCAAGTGCAGATTCGCATAAGGCATTGCCCCACCCATCAAAGACGTCGTCTGGGAGGATTGGACGACAGTAGTCAGGGTCTAGAGCGCCAGTGCAGCCTTGTACAGGGCACATAACAGCGGATGTGACATTGTTTTGGAGATTGGACGCTACGTATTGAACAACGCACTCTCGACAGTAAAAATGGGCACAACCCTTGATGTTAAATGAGTTTTCGAGATGACTTTTCGCATCACACAAGTCACATACAAAAGTTGGATCAATATCAATATCAACAACATGTTCATGTTGCTTCGTCTTTGTTTTCGTATGCAGTACTATATGTTTGGTCACGAAGGAGATGTGCTTACCCCTTATGTATTTTCCTGTGAAAACTTTGCTCCCCAGTTTGTTTCCTGTGAAAACTTTGCCGCCCAACTTTTCTCCTGTGCAAAGTTTGTTGCCCATCTCTCTCTCTCTCTCTCTTTTCAGTGGTTAAGATTAAGAATCTAACTAAGGTGGCAGTGTGAAGAAATAATAAGAGGATAATTACAGATAGTGAGGTTTGATTGTTAAGACTGAGTGATGTGATGAAATTTCTAGGGCTGAATTCTGGATCATCAACTTCATCTATACACAAGAAGAGAGTCCATAAGCGGTAAGGAATAGGACTTCCTTCGTCAATAAGATTTAAGGATTATAAAAAATAAAATAAAAGAAGATTGACGATAATCAAGTCAACCTTTTGGAGAGAGTATATCTTCCCTAAACGTTTCCTTTGGGCAGTTTTGAATTACCATTATGCCACTGAAAAACATAGGACTAACTCTCCGGATCCTCTTTGTGAGGATTCGAGAATTCTCTAATCACGTCTGTTCATTGTACAACGGTCTTTTTTTGTTAGATACTGTTTATATTCAATTTTAAATAAAAATCTTACAATGATTTCTGACCGCACGATGTATAATGAACGAACATGATTGAAAGATTCCCGGAATCCTTACAAAGAATATCCGGAGAAGTTCCTTTCTTTTTAAAGAACCCCCTCCCCCTGACATAAACCTTCAATAAAGTTGTCAAAATAACCTGCGAGCATATGCAGTAGGAACATAACATATTATCAGTAAAGTCTTTTAAGGTGAAAAAAAAATTAGCAAATGAATAAAAAGTTCCAGGTCGAATATTGTAAAATGTTGAAAATTCCCTTTCAACTCAGGGTAGAGAAATTCTTTAGTCCGTCAGAAGATTGCGTCTGCCGTTCTCATTCCTCACAAACCAAGTGGGACTCCAATACGAGGAGTGCCCCTTGGTTGTGAGGGGTGAACGATTGAGAGGTCCGGCAGGAAGACCGAAGAATATTTCCATGGATAATAGCCGCCCGGTTCCTTGTATTACAATTCAATTTGGTTAAGGATTTGTTTGAGATTGATTTTTCAAAAAGCACTTTTGCTCATGAGCATGTGTGCTAAAAGTTCTTTCATTGTAAACAAGTTCAAGTGCTTTTTGAAGAATCTAAAGTTTTTTAAAGGGGTGTGATATCCACACACCTCTTTTTACTTCTTCCACACCTTTCTGGTTTTCGGCCGTCAGATCGGATGAATTGAAAAAGATCAACGGACAGAAATTAACAAAGGGTGTGTGAGAAGTAAAAAATGATGCGTAGATAGCACACCCCTTTTTAAAAACGCAGTTGTAAGAGATTTTAGTAGTCATGAAGCGTTTTTAGCTCTTTTAGAAGCAAACCCAAGCCAGCATGCCCCAACTCTTGGCGGATTTTCGTTCTTTCCCGGATGCACAACATTCTTTTCTACACATTTTTACTGTTTATAGTAAACAATAGGCGTTAAAAATCAGCCTGCAGCTTGCGATATGGCGTCTTCAGAATTCTCCCCCTCTATCGGAAATCCAAGCTTTCACCGGATATGTCGATAACGCTAGAACTATAGCCCTCGCCGTCAGCAGTTGCGCCACCATCTTCTTCATCTTCCACAGTCGAATTGGAGGGTTCAGCAGCTTCTGATTGTTCGTGTTCCGAAACGATTTCCGCTGGTGGGGGGTGGGCAGACTTCACAGCGAAAAGGAACGTATACGCAAAGGAATAAGACTTTCCTTTTTACATTAGGAAATAGGACTCCCCTTCTTCAACAGGGTTTTTTTTGGGAAATGTGGAAATGCCGAAAATGCCCTTTCGGAACCAACAAAAGGGGTAGTCTTTCAGCAGTGGTACATTGTCAAATAATATGATATATACACATCTATGGGTTGCTTATAATAGCAGTTCCAAGTGATTTCACAATTGGGATAAAAAACTTAATTGTCAGGCATGAATCTTCCTTTTCCTTTATACAGACAACACCTATTAACTTCTATGTACAGTTTCAGACCAAAGGTGAAATATTAAGAAAAGAATTCTGAACCCCGTCGATTGTTCTGAACGGAAAGCTTAAACAAGTAGTCATCGGAGATGCAAGCGGAACTAGCACTGTAGACTGGAGTAGAGGTTTTTCAGGGCCGTATACAGGGGCTCAGCAGCCTTTGGTCTGTCCACAGTTCCGAGTAGTATATCAGAAGTCGTCAAGTAAGGGTCACCATAAAACTGTAGATTGGTATCCATCCTTGTGGCCACAATGTTCCCTTCCAATGATACTCCAACAAATGCACCTGTCAAAACATCGCAACGTCACACCGTCAGGAGTAGGATCTTTTCCAAGCCCCCATACTACCCCGAATAACAGAACCCTCAAAATGCGTTAAACAAATAGTGGCTGATACATATTAAGAATTTGAAAGTAAAATGACAAACCAATACTCCACTACAATCTTTGCTACTTGTACCAATGAAAAGACCCTCGTGCCATGGTATACAGCGGATGAACCTAGTCATTAACTAGAAAGCTTTACCAATCTAAAATTGTTATCATACCTTTGCTACAACTGTATGTATAGCACATTCCAGAACCTCTGTCTCCAGCGCGCATGTCTGCTTCCAGCACTCTACCAATAGGTCCTGCGGCAGCACTACACCCAGCACCAAGAGAAAAATGCATGCGACTACAAAATGTTTTCACAGCTTTTAAATCGTGAAGCACAATGATGAAGTCCATAAGTTCACCCCCAATCTGGAAAAAGAAACAATGGGAATGCAAAGATTACCGCCTGGAATAGAACTAAGGAAGTAGAAACTTCCAGCCAACATTTAGAATTTCTCAACTTACTCAAGCGGAAGAGACTAAACATATCAATTTTAAAAAGAAACTGATGGTGACAAATGCATATAAACTATTATTATTATTTTTGTAAATAATGTATATGAATTATTACGCCTCTGAAATTCCTTTCTTCCAACTTAAGCATGTACAAATAATCATAGAAGGAAATAACATTAGAACAACGAAAATATTGCATATATACCTGCGCGCCCCATCCTAAGCCAACAGAAAATATGGATGACGGGGCAGACCATGATCCATCAGACCTTCGAGCAATTACCAAACCAGTACCAAGTTTGTAAGAGAGAAGTGCACCAGCTTTAGCAACTGTTAGGATTGCCAGACCTTTAGCTCCTTTAAGAATAGCTGCGGGTATAGACCTCTCAGGATTCAACCTAGCAACCTGTCAAACATAACATAAGATGTCAGAAATCATCTTAATTGGAATATTGGAACTCTTCAGACTAAATGAAAAGAAATTCATAATTGCACCTGGGAGTAACTTAACGAAACTAATAATCCAGAAACATAGGAACAAAACTAACTTAACGAAACTTAGATGGAATTCAGAATTGCACCTGGGAGTAACTTCTCAATGTGTTGGATGCTTTGTATATCTCCTGTTCCATGGAAAACCCAACAGGAAGATTTAACCATCCTCTTGTACACGTCCAATCGATGACATCATGCTTGGCTGCTTGTGCAGCATTGCTGATGCTGTTAATTAGAATACCCTGTAAAGGATCTAGCCTATCATAGCAGGCATCGCAGACCCTCTGCGGACTCCTCTCCCTAAACTTGACAGGTAACAAGCACCTTCCTTTACTACATGTTCTGCAGAAAATTCCTCCACAGAACCGACAATGATGTCTTCCACGAGTAAGTGCAGTAAAAGGCAAAGTGCACTGCATGCAACCTGTAGTAGAACTATCAGGAAGCCATTCAGGGGGCTCAGCTTCCAAAACATCTTTGTATGCGTTGTAATTAAAAGTTGTTGGCTCAAGCAGGGGTGGGGCACTGGGTGTATAAACCGACGAGTGCAAGCATGTATCACCATTTTTTTCTGATCCCAAAAATGAAACATTTGAATTAGGTAGCTGGTTGTCTGATGGAAGACCCGGTGCCTTGTTCCGGCCAGTCAGAATGGCAAATACCCCAGTCAGCACATTCTTCAAATTGACTTCTGGTTGCGTATTAGTCTGAGGTAAATCACAAGGCTCTTCACTCGAATCATACTCGCTGCCATCAACAAAATCCTCGGACTCAAGAGGAAACTGGTACGAATAATCATGCTTATCGGGCTTGGATGCCACTGCAGGGTAACTAACTTTCCCGCAGTGTTCTGGCTGGGGCCAATCGGAACCGACATACTCGTCATCATAGTGGAACTGGGGTTGGCGTTTGTCGATCTTTGGAAGGGACGAATACGAAACTCTCCCCTCAAAGCTCTCCATACAATTCCTCAAACCACTACACAAAATTCAATTTTTCGGTTCGAATTCGAAACCAGAATATGTTACAAAATTCAAAAATGAATAAATCCCAGAAAGAGAATCAACTTTGACGTCCATACAAAGCGAAATCAAGGTAAAAATTCAGAATTAAATTAAGGGAAACGAGCACGACAACAATATGCAGCTGGAAAATAATCAAAAATCGTAAATTAAATATCTTTTCTGCAAAAATAACACGAATTCGAATTCGGGAATTGGGGATTTTGCTTCTGGTTTGTTCTAGGGTAATTTAATTGAATTAAATTAAGGAAAAAAAAAAGATAAACCGACAGCAGACGTACCTGTTGATCAATTCGAGCTGTCAATTGAACAAAATTGAGACAGAAACTGGTTTGATTAGGGATTTAATTTTCCAGGGTTTTGCGACCAACGAAGAAGAAGAAGACGGAGAAGAAAAGACAGCCGGAGTTGTTGAAATACACGAAAAGACCTGGCGTCCGTGTGTGATCACAAAAACAACATCCAATCCGGTACAACTGTTTTTTTGCAGAAAAAAATTCCTCATCGTAAAAGGAAACGGCAAGCCGTTGTTTTATGTTCACGCGGTGATATGTCGTTTCCCGAATGACGACATATCGTTTTATGGTATGGGTTTAAAGGTTCTTTGCGGAATGGTATTCATTTTTTAAAAGAAAATGAAGATTAGTTGTGGAACTTATTTCATATTAAATTTTAACAATCTTAATGGTTTATTTTGTATGTAATTTATAGATAATTTTTACAAAAATTCAATTCAATCCAAAATTATTTGTCTATTTAATTGTCACAATAAAATTTTAATATTTTTTAGAATATAATGTCCGTCAATTTTAGTTTGGCTAATATTTTGTAAGAATGATATATGAGGTGCAACTTGAAAAATAGACATGCACGTCGTTAAAGTTCTATGTGAAGTGGCCCCCACAACTAATCCATATTTGTTTTTTTTTGAAGAAAATGAAGTCTCTTCATTTAGAAGCTCTGTATATATTTAATAGATCAAAGCGCTCCAAATTATTGATGTTAGTGTATAATCTTTACATTCGTTTCTATTGAACTTCCAAACAACGAAAATGATATTTTTCATTCACTTACCTCCATCCACGCAGTATTGAAGTGACATCAAAAGTTTCCCACTACATATTAAAGTTTGTTAACCTAACTAAACTAGCTTCAAACTCGAAACTTCTTGCCAGGCTGTTCATCATCGTCATAATGGCCGCCATCCTCACCGTCCATATCCTTCTCCATCTTCTCTCTGAAGTATCTTGTTGATCTTGTTCAGGCATCGGTGATATTCTGGTCTTTGTTTTGCTTTTGTGTCTTAGGAGTTAGGACCACCTTGCATCTTTACACCAAATTGGAAAGCTTCCTTGAGCTCAATGTATGTTGCCCATATTCTTCTGTCTCGAAGTCCCACCGCTGAATACTACTCTTAGCCTGTCGAAAATATATATAATTGACAATAACATAAGCAATGATTGCAACAAAAGTATGATAAAAATATGTTGACCTTTAAACTCAGGAGGCAGACTCTCTGCCCTCCCACTTCTCGTGCCCTTCCGTGCTTTTCTGTTTGTGTGGTCATAGTTAAACCACGTCAATATTTTATATTACTATTTTTTTGTCTTGTTATCTCTATAAAAAAAATATCAAATGTTGACGTGGCTTAATCGTGACCACACAAAACATAAAAGCATGGAAGGACACGGAAAGTAGGAGGGCAGAGAATCTGCCTCCTTAAACTCAACCCTTAGCCTTTAACTAGAGTTTATGGTTCTACAACATCAGTACTAGGTAGATAATCCTAACTGTACATGTTATGACAATTTACAGAAAATAATCGACCAGTAGACCGAGACTATTAATACGATGGGCGTTATGGCGTACATTTGAAGCAACCTGTAACTATATCTCATTTAGATTGTCATCAAATGAAGTGCTCTGTAGATAACAATTGTTTAATTATGAAACGGCTAAGAGTGCTTTGTCAGCCAAAAAAGCATCTCATTGCGTTTGTGTAACCATGGTGTAGACATCGAAACTTTGGTGAAGTAAATGTTCGTCAATACATTAAAGTTTAGACATGTCGGGGCACACATGGCATGCGCCATGCGTCACACAAATCGTACACATAGATGTGACTTATCAAAATCGGACAAGTCATCAAAAAGGACACGTGTCAACACCTGACGGAAAAGAATGATTTGATTTTAATTAAATTAAATCAAATGTTAATTGATGGAGTCAAATTACGAACCGGCCCACAAATCGAGTCCATGTTCTTTTGTCAATTAATCAAGCCCACGCACAATCAAGCTTAAATCCAACCGTAGGCAAGGCTTTAAGAGTGTATAAATACGAGGCTCTAAGACAAAGAAAACGGTTCAAAAATCATTTCATGCCCAGAAGCTGAAGTTTTGAAATTCTAAAGCTATCAAGCATCCAAATTCCCAAACACTCTCAAACACTCTAAAGAATTCAGAAAGCCCTCTACGTTCTCACCAAAACCCTTGAAGAATCATCAAGCACTACCACACATGCTGGTTCTTCCCTCGTCACAAGCCAAATCCTTGAGTCAATCATTCATTCAAGTTCGAGTCATCGCGACCCTTAGATCAACAACCCCAACATCACACATCTACACATTTAGGAGATTAAATCAGAGAATCAAGTTGTAAAGAGATTGTAACCCTAAATTACATTAATACAAATATTCTTTGTACATGTGTTTTTCTTGTTATTTGCTACAAGATTTTCGTGTTTACACATGGTTTTATTATTATCAAGTGTGATTTTTGGCCTTTTGATCTAAGCCAGAAAATGGTCGACCAAAAGTTATAATGATTTTGTTACTCACTAAAGCTTCCTAGTTATAAGTGGTAATTAATACAACTAGACCCTAATACTAAGTGAAAACAATTATTAAGCTATAGTTAACACCATGAAAATTTTCAAGAGGCGATGATAGTTATCTACCAAGACTTTTATGATGGAACAATACTTGGCTACTGAAAGATGAGTAGAAACTCCTACTCAAAATTTCTTAAAATTGTTTGTTGGCAATTTATAGAACTTCGTGTTTATAATCAAAACCGTTCATGTTATAAATCACCCTATAAAGATTATCTCTGCCAAAAATCAATTAAAATTAAGATCGTTTTAGTAATCAAACTATTTAAAAACAAATGAACGATATTGGTAAAAGCATTACGAACCATCTATGTATTTGCTACAATAGATGGACTAAACGACATTAGTTTTAATTTATTTTTTGCAGAGATGATATTTACATTGTGATTCATAGTATGAACGGTTATGATTATAAGTACAAAACTCTGTGATTAAAATACTAAGAGTTTTGAGCAGGAGTTAATTTATGAGTAGCCAACTATTGTTCTTTATGATGTATTAAAAATAAAAACAAATAAATGTTGTAGGCCTAATTTATGAGTAGCCAAGTATTGTTCTTTATGATGTATTAAAAATAAAAACAAATAAATGTTGTAGACCTAATTTACTGAACAATTATACAGGACAGAGAAGGGGGACGACAACACAAACAGAGAATAGAGAGATGTGTAATGGTGATGCGTGTTATTCCACACCATTGCGCCTTTATTTATAGATAGTATTAGGAAGGTAAATTCTTTACCCAATAGGATTACAACTCTAATAAGATAATCTTTAGACTAAAAGGGCTAAATAGCCAAAATGATCCCTGAGATTTGCATAACTCATCACTTTGATCCCTAACATTTCAAATCGATAAAAGTGGTCCCTGAGATTGTTCACCATCCATCATTTTGGTCTTTCCGTTAAAAACTCCGTTAAGTGTCCTGGAGCTCTTGGCCGGAAGTTTGGGCAATTTTCAAAGTTTCGTAACTCAATCGTTTCTTAACCAAATTTGACTCGTAATATATCAAAATGAAGATAGGAAAGTGTAGAATAAGATTATACCTATTTGGAAGCCCAATGACTGCCAGCGATAGCCGGAAAATAGCCTCAAAGTTGACTGGTCCGAGGGAAAACTGAAAAACATGCCGGAAACTAGGTAAACTTTAAACGTTTATAACTTCTCCAATACTCAACGAAATCAAGTGATTCAAAAACTAAAATCATACTTCTCGACGAGACGAATAGAATGTTACCTTTTTAGATGGATAAATTGCCGTGATTTGGCTGGAAAATAGCTTTAAAGTGGCTAACTCGAGACCAAGACAGCCACTTTTATGCTTTTTATCAGAGAGGAAATGACTGAAACAGTTTTGTTCAGTGGTCACGTGCTCAATCCGCTTGTAAAGTGATCTCTCGTTGTGGCAACTCTCTTCCTGGTTTGTTTCTCTGCATGCTAGTTTATGTTTTCTTTTTCGAACTATTAAAATTGCAGTGTTGATTATTGCGTTTGGGGATGGTTCTTGATCCTCTTTGTTTACCCTTCTTTCTTTTCGGTATTGAGGTTCACTGGTTGTTTCCAATATAAAATAAAGATATATATTGCTTTTGATAGCAAACCAATGAGCATTTAGACATGGATCTCCAAGATTTATCCAATCCAATCTCATCTAGTTTTTGTTTTTTCGTTTATAATTGCAAAACGTAAAAACAGTGTCCAATTTTATTGACACGAGATGTTACAATTGTACTCGTAGCAAAAAGGTACTTCTCCGAATTCATGTATACCTGCGTTGCCAAGTTTTGGTTTGGCCATCATGGAAAGAGTAAGGTTTTGTAAAGTAGATGAATGGGAGTTTGGCTTGCATTATATCCCTTGTTTTTATATATTTTGGTCGATACATGCTAGAGGTAGTTGATTCGAGCAGTACAGGCGAGAAGAAGTTGATTCCTTTTAAAATATTTTCTATTTAAACTCCACAATAAGATGAATGTGAAAAAACTATTTCAAATATTGTTAACGACATAAACATCTTTTAGTGTTCAAGTTTGTTGGCTTCTCCGGTAATCTGTTGAATAAAATCGACTGAAATGAAAATCCTTCTTTATACCATAAAAATCACAAAAACTCAATCAAAATAAATAAAATACAATTATCCTCAAGAACAAAATGTTTGTTATGCTTAATATATTTAGTTTGAACTTTTCCGCGGTCAAATCCATAAATGTATTGCTTGTGAAGTATGCGTTTGTGTATGTCCTATAGATCTACCCCTTGTTTGTATTAACAAGGAGGTAAGTCAACTATTCAATCAAATGATATTGAGCATGTTTCCCATCTCTTTTCGATACACAAGTGGGCTATTTTCGGAATTGGAGCTGCATCTCTTTTCCATTTCCATTCAAGAGTTCTTATGTGTTTCCACGCCCCTTTGAGAACATTCTGTAGTCTTGGTAAGAGGGGGAAGGGTTAAGGATTTACCGGTGTGAGATATCACATTGTTCGAGGAACCCTAGATGCCGTCGGAGTAAGGGACTCTGAACAAAGTGCTTGAAATACTTGATATTAATTTATAATCTTTAATTACATTCGTTTCTATTAAATTTAGGTGCAATCAAATTATTCCCACTAAATATTACAATCTGTTAACCTAACTAAACTAGTTTCAAACCCGAATCTTCTTGCCAGGCTGTTCATCATCGTCATAATGGCCACCACCGTCACCGTCCATATCCTTCTCCATCTTCTTTCTAGCAAGTATCTTGTTGATCTTGTGCAGGTCATTAGTGATCTTCTGGTCCTTGTTTTGCTTTCGTGTCTTACGACCATCTTGCATCTTCACACCAAACTGAAAAGCTGCCTTGGGCATAGCTTCCTTTTGCTCATTGTATGTTGCCCATTCTTCTTCAGTCTCGAAGTCCCACCGGTGAAGACGACCCTTAGCCTGTCAGGGAAATATATTGACAATAACATAAGCAATGATTGCAACAAATTTTAGAACGAATCAAGCATATTTTCGTTATGTTTTATCAAAAACTTACTCGTCCACCCATATCCATTTTTGACAAGTCATCTTCATCGTCACTGTCAACCACCTCGCGATTATATTCTTGATAACCAGGGTAACATTCAGAATAACTCTCCGAGATGAAGTTTGGATCCTTTTCTCGGGCATCCTTCTCCCTCAATTGTTGTAGTCTTTGGTCATCCCGCTTAAACACAGATCCTAAACCTCGATCCTTCTCCTCTTGAGTCATAAAGCGTGGATCCTGCATGTTTAAGCCTGTTTGTTCATCATAACCCTCCATATTTGCCTGGAGGTATTGTTCAGGATAAGCCATTTGCTCAGCATATTGGTATTCTGGCCACTCTCCCTGGTAGGCACCATCCATTGTTTGTGTTTGCACCGCATTGTATCCGTTCTGAACCCAAAATGTAACATAAAATACCCATCCAAGGTGAAATGCAAGTCAAGTTTTGTTTAGAAACACAGTTGTACTACAATTTTCAGAATGAAAATGAAAAGGATAAATGTACCATATCTTGCCATTCCTGAGGCACCCCATAGGATTGGACGGGTTGGACGGGACCATAAGCAGGTTCATCAAAATAAGAAACTCTTTCCTTGTTCCGAGGAGACTCTTCCATGTCCTCAGAGAGCGGGCTTTGACTCAAGTCTTTACCAGGAACAACATAGTCAACGCCATCCCCAACAAAAATGTCATCCTCATCTACTCTGGCAACAGTTGGGCCTTGTTGTGCTTTTGAATCTATGTGATTTTTCCTGGGAGGGGGTGGAGGGGGTGGTGGCAAAATCTCCCTTTTAGTTTCCTTCTTCAAAATCCCAACATCAGGCTTCAAGGACTTATCCTCTCCATCATAGTCATTACCAACGACTGAAATCTTTCCTGTACACCAAGAAAAGAACTGATTAAGTAGTTAGACGAATAAACAACCAAAAAGGGCAGAAAGGATGAAGGATGAAAATAGTTGATGTGAAATCTCAAAACAAATTATGGAATTCTGATCACTTCACTCATCACGAAATACTTCAAAATGCCAATGTCCACTATGATGTCAGGCAACCAAGTATACAAAAGTACACAGATATACGCTAGTTTAGTTTGGTTTAGTTTCTCTCAGAAAACTCTGAGTTGAATAAGAAACGACTATCTGAACTGGTTGTTAGCTGCCCTGTTTCACCGTGAGTTTGGGATGCTTAGCTCCAAGCACAGAGCCATATAGCCATTTGGGCATAATGGCCATACAATTTTTATCATGAAAAATGATTTCAAATACATTTTTACGTATCTGATTGCTTTGACTTATAAAGATATTTATAGCAGTTTATTATAGACAATTGTATCAAGGCCTTATGTTGCGTAAAACTGATTATTCAGTTACTTTTGACGAAAAGCAGCATACCTCTTGCATCTTTTTCCTTCTTTTTCTTCTTGAGAACCTTCCCAGAAGATCCAAGACGAAGATATGACATAATTTTAGCAATTCGGTCAAGTACAGAACCATCAACATTGACAGTTACTGCTTCCTGCACAAAGTAGAAGCCAAAATCAGATAAACAGTCTAACAATGATGGGAAGACCTCACAAAGTGTCAGATCTTTTAACCTCTGTCTGTGGACAGTCAGCTTTACTCCTATGCAAGGTGGTTGGGATGTCATGGGTGTATCCTCCCTCCTGAGATGCAAAATATGAGAACATGATGTAAATGTCAAGAAAATGGGAGATCACATTCATTGAGTATCCTGCAATAGCAAGCTCAGTGCTCTCAGAGAAGTGCCTACAAACAGTTCTCAAAGTTGAACTTCCACGCATGATTTAGGTGGCAACTAAACATGAAATGGTCCTGAACAGGCCACCCAAGGTTTATAAGGGTTTAGGCAAGCTTAAAACATGAACACAAATTGTTCCCAGAAAAGACTACTCTGATCTAAATTAAGCAAGCTTAATATGAAAAGAGCATCAAAGGCTCTTACCATGTTAAAAATGAACGACATTCTACCAGGTAGGAACATCTCGTTGGTTTTGATAACAGCGTGGGGCTTGACTATCCATTGGTACACTGACTGAAACACAGAAATGAGACATCAATGAAACAGATAATGATTTAACAAAATAACTGCCTCACCATATCACCAAAAGTGACATACCTTTGCGGTAGCAGTGCGAAATGAAATTTTTTGGTCTTCCTTTGATGCTCTGTCAGTGAATAGGAAGCACACAAGTGTTAGCAGTAGCACATGCACTATGAAACTGCTAAAGAAGTTTATTGAGATATGGCTATCATTCTTCATATTAACACTTGAGATATGGCCATCAATATCAACAGAATTTAACCCAAATACATCGTGTTTGCGAAATTTAACACTTGATGTTTTTAAGATTAGACATAACTTGACAATACAAGTAATCCACATACAATTACCTAGACTTTGCATCAGTCTCATCTCCATCATCTGGCCTTTTGTCAATCTCACTTCTTACTTTGTTAAGTAAAGCGTAATCTAATCCTTTGACCAAATGTGTGTGTTCCACATCACCTGGACAACATTAATCGAGTTCAGCATAAAATAAGTCAACGCCCTTCCACATGTACAAAACTGGCTAGCCAAAAAACTATTGATTAGGTGACTCGTGACTTCACGAATTCTCATAGATATCAACAAATGCAGCGTCAATCGCACTTAGCTTCACAAACATGGTAAAAAATGAATCCTATACCGAAAACTGAGACCCTGTAAACAATACAGTGGGAACAAATTTCTAAAACAAAGCGTAACACAAACCTCCAAGATACTTGCTCTTCTCAATGGATAACTTCTGTACCTCAGCTGCCCTGCAAATACCAATGCAAAGATAATTAAGCTATTAAAATGGCAGAGGCATTGATAAGTTTGATACTAACCGGAGATCAATGTTTCCGGGAGGCGCAACGGCGTGAAAAGAACCCAATTCAGTCGGCTCATAATCGGGATTTTGATCTTCCCTTCGCTCCTTAGCTCTGTCTCTGTACTTCGGCAACTCCGGTTGCTCCGCCGCTTTCTCCTCCCTGCATGCACCATCACACAAACATTGCATCAAAGATCAAACGCATAATCAGCATTCCCACATTCGTTACCTAATAATTACATGACCATAAAAATCACGCTGAAATCTTTTTTCCCAGATTTTAGCAAAACTGCTTAATTGCACAAAAAAATATAACAAATATTAAGAAATAATAATAAAAATTTAAACTTTGGATCAAAATTAGTACTGCCTGTATTGAATGGGAAGCATAATGTACGTCGGATAGTGAAAAAAACATTAAAAAATTGAAACTTTCAACTCACTTGCGGCGGGCAACTTTCTCCTTGTAACTTTCTTCGACGAAGTCATCGGTGAAATTGGGAATTCGAACTGGAATCAGGGAGGACGGAAAGATTTTTCCAATTGCGGTAATTAGGGTTTGCAGAGGAGTGGCGAACTCTCGAAAACGAGGTCGCCGTGGGAATGAGGTCGCAGGGAGAAATCGTTGCGCGGTAAAATTACGGATAAAACCATCCTGTATATAACGACAACTGAAACGCACCGTCGTTGGATATTTATTCTCTTTTTCCAATTTTTTTAAATTACATGAGAATTAAGTTGGGAATTTGATTAGTAAACGACATCGGTTAGCATCTCACTATCAAAATTCTCAATAGAGCAAGAGCTATATGGGAAGTGCTGTTAAAATGATTAAAAATATTTTTGATGAAAGATTTTGGGGTTCAAAAGTAAATTCACTGATATATTTGCTTCTTGTAGGAAGCATTTAATGTGTTTTTCCATAATACATAATTACATATTTGCCCCTTTCTTTATTACATAATTACATTAAAGTCCCCTGAGTATTTATACGAGGTCTAAATACGAGGTCTTAAATATGGTATAAACAGTAGTCCCCCAAGTATTCAGTCAAGAGAGTCTTTTGGCTGGAGACCTGAAATTCAATCCATGTGTGGGCCGAAGTAACTAGATGTTGTCTTGAACTGATGTTCGATATGAGGCGGTGCTCAATCTGAAATGATGCTCAACTAGAAGTAGCACATGTTGCGAGGCTCCTCGGCTCGTGGCTTATGTTGCCTTGGTTGGCTCGGCTTGTGGCGTTTGACAGTGAGAGAGTCTTTTTTATAGAATAGGAGCTCGCTCCTCAATACATGAATGATGGGTTAGAGTTAATGCTCTCTAATGATGGTGAGGGAATCCCTTTTATAAAATAAGGGCTCGCTCCTCAGTACATGAATAATGGGCTAGGAGTAATGCTCGTGGCGAGGCGGTTGCTCAGCTGGCAGCGATACTCTCTAATGAAGGTGAGGGAGTCCCTTTTATAGAATAAAGGCTCGCTCCTCAATACATAAATATGGGCTAAAGTTGATGCTCGCGGCGAGGCTGTTGCTCAGTAGGCGGCGATGCTCTCTAATAATGGTGAAGGAGTCCTTTTTATAGAATAAGGGATTGCTCCTCAATACATAAATACGGGCTAGAGTTAATGCTCTCTAATAGTGGTAAGGGAGTCCCTTTTATAGAATAAGGGCTCGCTCCTCCATACATGAATGATGGGCTAGAGTCCCCCAAGTATTTTTCATGAGGCCTAATATATGGTACATAATGTAATCTCCCAAGTCTTCGGTCAATAGAGTCTGTTGGCTAGAGACTTCAAATTGAATCCATGTATGGGCCGAAGTGGTGGTTGTTTGGAGGCGGTATTTGTATACCCTGCACTGAAACTTTGTAAGTGAAGATTTTTAAGTGAAGCTTTGAAACTAGAGCTCTGTAAATAAAGCTTTTGAAGCTAGAGCTTTTGTAAATGAAGCTTTTGAAGCTGTAGCTCTGTAAATGAAGCTTTCGAAGCTAGAGCTTTTGTAAATGAAGCTTTTGAAGCTGATTGACATGAGTGATGCTCATGAATGTTTGATTGACATGAGTGTTGCTCATGGATGTTGACATGAGTGATGCTCATGAATGTTGATATGAGTGATGCTCATGAATGTTTATGTATGATTGATATGAGTGATGCTCATGAATGTTTATGTATGATTGATATGAGTGATGCTCATGTATAATTTGGAGTACTGAGCGTACTTTTGATCACCTGGTTGGTGGCATGAAGGAGAGTACGGGTTGTACATTTAATCACCTGGGTGGTGGCATGAATGGCTAGTTGCCAAATGATATTAGAGTACGGGTTGTACATTTCATCACCTGGTTGGTGGTAATAGCGGCAAGTTGCCGGATAATTTTGGAGTACTAGGCGTACTTTTGGTCACCTGGTTTGTGATAGAAGCGGCAGATTGCCGAATAATTTTGGAGTACTGGGCGTACTTTTGATCGCCTGGTTGGGGCTATTTTGGGCTTATGGGTCTTCGCCCTCTACACAACATTCCAACCCATTTATTTTGGGTTTTGCCGTTTTTTTTTTTTTTAATTAACCTCTGATGGGGTTTATACATATTACCCTCTGATGGGGTTTATACAGATGTCTCCAAAAGATAAAAAATAAATTACATCTTTCAAAAAATAAGAAAAGTAAATCACATTATTCTGGTGGGGTGTTTATTCCTTGCTTTTGCTTTTGTTTTTCTGCTTTGCTTTTGCTTTTCCACCGCACTCTTTTTCTTTTTCTTTTGTGGGAGTGGTTGAGCTGTCTGATGGTTTGCAATGATCTCTGAAACTGATTGAGTAGTGGGTTGTTTCATCATTCTCTGGTGGCTTAGGGAAGTAATAATGATAAAGCAAAATAATAAAGAAAAAGGAGAAAGGTCTCATCTTTTTCATCATTCTCTGCTGCAACTTTGTTAATCTCCTGCCTAGCTTGTGACGGAGCACCGGGTTTGGACAAACCCCACGGAGACAGCTCATCTTTGCTTGGGTACATAGCTCACCGGGTTAGCAGCAGCTTTTTATTTCTTGCTGTTGTTCCGATGAAAGTCCATGAAGTTCGGCTTAACTATCCAGTTGTCAGCAACTTCACAAGTATATTTTCTCCTCTAGCTTGGAAAGTTGCTGTCCAGAATCCCTTAGTACTGCTGGATAGGTTCTTTAATGCTCCAGTCAACAGGCTATCAACCAAACTGCCAGTCTCAATCCCTTTTTGTAGCTGCCAGTCTTGATCACTTCCAGCACTTACGACATTCTAAACCTCGAGAGAGACGACGTGGTTGATGACGTATTCGTCGCCGCCATTGTTATCTTCTTTCTTGAACGGCGTTGTACCGTTAGAAAGCCCATATGCCACCAGAAGGTTGGGGTCTGCATGTACATCAACCAAAATCTGATAAAATGGCTGATTAGAACCGCGTCTCAACTTTTCAACCTGTGCAGTTTCCATCCATTTCTGAATTTCCAAGAATCTTTTGGACCTTGTTATGTCCCTCTTCAAAAGCAATGCAGCCTTCCCTTTCTTGGGCTTTAAAGAAACAGAAACAGCAACAGCACCAGACCCAGCACCTCATTTCACTTCTTTGTTCTCATCCATATCCTCAGCCACATCTGCCTCTGTCGTCAGAGCCGCCGCGGGCACTCGGTGAGGCTCGGAATTGGCCCATTTTCTTGGTTTTATCTCGTCCACGTGTCAGAATCATGGGATAGCATGTGCAGAAAATGGAGATGCCTTTGCCTTTGTCAGAAGCACTGCACATGCTACGGTTTGTTTGGAAAACTGTAGATGAAAATGGAGGTAGAATTCTGGGTTTTTGTAACCGTTTGTTTTGGGTTTTTCTAGGAAGTGATTGGAAAACTGTGATATATCTGAAATGAGATTTGAGTGTTTTGATTTTTTGATGATCCACAGTGGACAGTGGTTGTGATGAAAAAAATGGGAAAGAACCGACATAGCTTTTCGTGTCGTTTCCCACAGACGGCGCCAAATGTTGATGCACAAAACCGGAGGTCTTGGAACAACGTAAATCCGACCGTGAATCTGCAAGTAATGTAAATGACATAAGAGGTATCGTGGTTCACCCCAAGATTTGGGCTACGTCCACACTGATTATGTATTTATCTGAGGGAGAGAGAGCTCAGAGAGTGAGAGCTTTGAGAGGGGGTGAGAGGGCCTAGGAAGTGGCCTCAGGAATTGGCCTCCCCTAATTGTGAGGGTGAGGGGTCATTTTATATAATAATGACTCCTCACGTATTACATATTTGCCCCTTTTTTTATTACATAATTACATTTAAGTCCCCCGAGTATTTATACGAAGTCTAAATACGAGGCCCTAAATATGATATAAACAGTTTAAAAAAAAATATTTTCACAAAAAAACGCTTTCAGTCATTTTAGGAGCACATCTAAATGAGCCACGCATGATGGAGTAGTTGATATTTGCTTATAACTTACCACATTTGTTTATTATTACTTTTACAATTTATATTACACAGCAACTACCACTAGTGTTTAAAATATCAACAAAATTGTCGATATTTTCATCAAAATATAAAATAAAAAAAGGATTGATATGAAAATGGGTGAAATGGAAACTTCACCCTTTGTTGACTAAATATACAAAAATCAATGAATATCGATGATATTTACTGATTCATTACAAAAATTTTGCCAGAACCCTTCGCAAATTTCAAAACTTTTGAAATTTTTTTTTTGAAATATTTTCTTTAATTTCGACTAAATTATTTGAATGAGTTGATATACCCACACCGTTACAAATTTTCATAATTTTCAGTGAATGCAACCGATATCGATATTTTCATAAATTTGGATATCGATATTTTGAATACTAAATGTCATATTATGATCAATTAATATAAGATGATTATAAAAATTATCCATCTAACATTATTGTACAAATAAAATGCTCTCAAAGATGATGCAATTGATCTTAGTCCTTCACCTTCATTTAAGTATAATACAATACAAATTACAATAACTAGGACCTATATTGTATTAAGAATAATAATAATAATCTTTTTTATTATTTATTTTTTATGAAAGTAAACTCAGTTTTGCAAAAGGTAGTGAAGAAACAAGAGATTAGGAAAATATTATCTTTTACCAGGTATTAGGTAAGGATTCGATCAATGCTTGGTAAGGATTGTATATTTTTACGTGCACATCAAGCAAGAAGCTGGGTAGAAGAGGAAACAAGAAGACCACCAACTCCAAGGCCAAGAACGAAGCCTAGAATAAATTACAAAATTAACTTAATTTTATTTACCCTAATACGTATGGATTCCAAGTAAGACGAGGAAACCTAGATTGAGATGACCAATTGATCAGAGTCTAAATGGTTTCCTACATTTTTTGGTTTACCTAATACCAAAAGGATAACTTAATAATCCCATTATATATATGTGTGTGTGTGTGTGAGTGTGTGTGTGCATGTAGAAGAAAATCGACAGGAACTCAAGAGACTAAACAAGAGATACCCAGAGATGAATAAGATGAAGAAATTCAGTTGCCTACGATCTTCAAACGCTCAAACTCTCCCTCCGAAAAACGTTGTAAGAACTGACTGTGATGGTGATGCTAATGAAGAAGATAGATTTACTGAACTTCCTGTGTCAAACAATCCCTCCAACGCTCCTGGAGAAATTGTTAAAGTTTCAAAGTCCAATCCATCCGACACTCCTTGGAAAGAGTACTCTTCCTCGTCATGGAAGAAGATAGAGAGTAGTACTACTACTCTCGCAGGCCTCGGAGGAAAAGTAGTACTCATTATTCCCCAGAGCAATGATGACAATAACGGAGACACAAACAGAACTGTTTCTTCGAAAAAGCAAACTAGAAAACTGTTTAAGAGTTTTTGTAGAACTGATGATCAAGTTGAAGAGTCTTCGGATTTAAAGACTAACAACAACCTGGCGCTGGAGCCCGAGTACTGCCCTCGGATTCCTCCCGAGGAGATTTTTAAGAGGTTGAGATCGAGTGCGTTGTCCTTGCATGGGATCGAAAGTGTGGAGTTTCAGAAGCCAAGTGACCATGATAGGGAAAGGGAAGCTCAAAAGAGGGAAGATCAAAAGAACATGTTGAAGAACCTTAAGCAATGGAAAAAATGCCCCAAGTGTAGTTTCACTGAACCGGCTGATTGGATGGTTTGCAGGTGCCCGAAGAGCCGGTCTATTCCGCAGAGATTTATGTGTGGTCAAATTTAAAGCGCGACGCTGATGATCTTAACTACTACTACGTTTGGTTATTCAGGATTTTTTATGTTTTTTCTCATTCGTTTTGGATTAATGAAAGACAGCTTCAGCAGTGGCAAAAGATGTTTTGAATCAATATATTCTTGCAATTTGGTAATGAATTTAATTAAGATAATCTTCAATTAAATCCAAGTTCCACACTTTAATTGTTTTTAAATTTTTATGATCTCGGATTGTAATTATTGGATACCTTTCTATCATCCATGCTTAATCAAAACTCAAGTTATGTGAGTTGAGCAGAATTTCGTGATAAGTTCACAAGTTTTGACTTAGCTAGGATATTCTACAGGGAATTAATCTAATCTAAAGAGAAATAATTCGGATTTGGGTGCAAATAAGAGACGACACTACTTTAGCCAACTTGGCAATTTTAAATCTGCGTTTTTGATACTATTTTGCTTCGTATGGATGATTTACAAGTTTGAATACTACTCCTATATATAACAAGACAACAACTAGATCGAATATATTAAATAGTACAAACAAATCAACAGATCAGCCAAGAAGTTATTCTTAACTGTTAACAATTAACAGTAGTAGCTTTGTTTCTTGACTTGGGCCCGATTATTAGGATTCATTATACTGATTCCAGCAGTAAGATATATTCTGGAAAGGAGAGTACAACAACCAAAAATAAGGATCACAGATTTCATAAATTAACTATAATAAATCGATTACAATGAACTTATTTGTGAAAGAAGAATTTGCGTGTGTACAAGAATAAGGTTTATCATATATTAGAACGCTTATTGTGAGATCATGGACAATCTTATATAGTCACTATGATTCTCTTTTATTATAATTAAAACAACAAAGTCACTTCTATAGTTCTATTCCAGTACAGTATTGCCATAGTTAATATGACACACCCCGACCCGAAATGTCCACAAGGATTCCGAATCGAGCTGTGCTGGCCGACACCTGGAAGGTGACGAAGCCATAAAGTGTGAAGTAGAAAAATATGAATAAATTAGAACCTAAGAGTGCCTAAATACCAGATTGCGCTGGTGAGCGGATATGAACCCACTTCACACGTGATACAGAGTATAAGTAAAGTACAGTGAGGTAAGATAATAATTATACCATCATAAAGAGCCACCTGAACTGGGAGTGCCACAAGTCCTCGTCGATACAGAACTTTGCTACTAGAACCTGGAGGGGTGCAAAATAGAAAGTGTGAGTGGGCAAACAAAGATCTTCAAAATCATTTCAATTATCAAGGGTAGTAATCCCTCGCCGTAAAACATGTATAGTCTCCAGAAAATTATACTAGGTAGAAGTATGAAATTAAATGTATACTAACGGTAAATCCAGAAGTAAACCACTACCCAGCATCTCATTAACAATATAAATAATCATGTGCTTACTAACCCATACTAGCACACAAGTCAGAATTACCTATAGTGACCTGCACTACTTATCCATATCTCATCAATCAATGCTAGTACATAAGTCGGAGTCACCTATAGTGACCTGTACGACTTATCCATATCTCATCAATCAATGCTAGAACATAAGTCGGAGTCACATATAGTGACCTGTACGACTTATCCATATCTCATCACATATCCCTGTAATATGTCAGCCGGATCCACCTATTGCGGCTTGTACCGCTTAACCCATAGCTCATCACATATCCCTGCACATGAGTCGGAACCACCTAAAGTGGTTTGTACGATAGGCTGGGTGTAAATAAATACGCTTAAGTGCTACGATCACGTGAAGGTTGTGCGAAGTATCGCAAGTTACCTACGAGTCGGAACCACCTAATGTGGTATGTACGATAGGCTGGCACCTACCTTGTATCCAAGGTGAGCGTGTGGTGCAGAAGGTGAACGATCACGTGAAGGCTAAGCCCTGGCCACGAGCGGAGCACTAACACCGGGGTGCAGGATAATGAGCTCTAATTGCATCTATTATAACATGTAAAACTCATGGACAACCTGTACGACAGTGTCGGGGTTGCCTATCATTGCAACCTGTACGACAAGGTCGGAGTTGCCTAATACATACATGTAGTCATGCCATAACTTCATCATTTCAACTAATACCATGAACTCACCTAAACTTACATGGTTCTCCTGTGTTCACCTTTGCATTTCAAAGCGTTCACAATAATTATGTGCAAGTAATAAACATATGGATATACCATGATGCAATCTAATACATAACCAGGTCATAGCATTTTCAATTATATACATATATATATATGTATATAATATGGCATAAAATGCGTAAGCTATAACGCCCTATTCCCGAACTATTTATTTTCGGGAATAATTATCGGTGATAAGCTCAATTAGACACTAGTTTAATTAACTATCA